GAAATAAGGTGATAATGAACCCTGCTGCCCAGCCCTCCACACTCTCACCTCATCTCCATCCCCCAGATGGAGGCGCCTCCAGGCCTCGGATGCCCTCCATCTGGAGATCCCAGTTGCAGAGATGGGGCATATGGAAGACCCATTCAGTATGGGGTATGGTGCGGTAAGACGCACTGATGCAGTTTGGGTCACATAAGTTATTTGCAGTACGTATGATATCATGCATTCATAGAGTATTTGCAGATTATAAAGAAACTTTGATGTAGAGAATTTCATTTGGATCTCATAACAACTGAATGAGGAGGGCATTCAAGAGACTGGAAAACAGGGTCAGTGACATGCCTAAGGTCACCCAGTTTAGTAAGTGACAGAGCCAGGACTGAAACTTGACTATTTTTGACTCTTAGTTCACAGCTTTTTCCTTTCTTCAGTCTATCATCTTCCATCACAGAGACTTACGTTTCCTCCTGCCTACGCCTTCATTTCCTGCGGTCACGCACGCATTTTCTTTCTTTGACTCTGTCTCTCCCAAATATGCAAACATACTATGAATCCTATATGTCTATTTCTTGTGCTTTTTTTTTTTTTTTTTAAAGACGGGGTTTCACCATATTGGTCAGGCTGGTCTTGAACTCCCGACCTCAGGTGGCCTCCAAAGTGCTTGAATTACAGGCTTGAGCCACCACGCCAGGCCTCATGTGCTTTTTTATCTGTATAATTAGAAAAGTGTTACTTCTCTCATTAACTTCTAACTTTTTCACTCAACATTACACTGTGAATTCACATTCATAAATACCTAAATTTTTCCTTTCCTGCACAATATCTCGTTTATTCTTTACAGCATTCAAGTCACTTCCAGAACTTCATTGTTACATATCTATCCTTGAATAGATATTTGATTGGAATTGTATTAAATGTATAGGCCTCACTTGGGCTCTTAAAACCAAAACAGTCAAAATATGCATTTTTTTCCATACATAGAATCTCCATAAACTATCTGAAAATCAAGTACAGAAATAAGGAAAGTGGGGTGGGGGGACAGACAGAAAGGTAGTACAAACAAATTACTCAATTCCACGTAGAAATGCCATCTCTTTTGAGTGTGTTAACTTTAACTGTAAAATATGCAGCAGGTAACTGGTGGAGGTTCCAGGAGGAATTTGACTTGCACAGTGTTTTATTGCAGGCTATTTCAATGCATTGAGGGATGTTTTATTTTATTTCAGTGTCATTTTTTTTTAAAGAGCAATGCTTTATGTTATATATTTAATTTTCTTAGATAATTTGAGTCTGACACAGGGATTCAGAGACTGGTTAAAACAGGAAGGCAAGAGTGAGAGGCAGCAAAATACAGCCATTCCCCCAATCCACTCCACTCAGCTCCACCCCAAACAAGGAGATAAAACAATATGAACATGACATTCCTGAACTGGAAAAAAACAAAACAAAACACAACACCCATTTCTCATCCATGAAGAGCCAGGCAGAAACATTAATTCACTGAGTTCTTATTACCACAACCCAGGGAAGTTGGTTTCCACTCCTGCATTTTGCCTGTTCAGAAGGAGGTCGGGAGAGTTTAATTGGCTTGGAGTCACACAGCCAGCCTTCATACTGTGCTCTTCCCAGCACCTGTACCCTCCTCCAAGCTGTCTGGCTTTTACACCATCCTCTTCTGTCCCAGCACCCTGTCTGGTCATTGATCTCATGTCAGGGACCCTCCTGGGAAGCCCTCTTGCTCCCTGTTCTTCTGGGATTCTCTCACAGAGGAAGCCCACCCCTCGCCTCCCACCCCCTCAGCGGATGGCTTTCTTTCAGATTGGCCGGCACCCAGCCACGCATTAATACACAATATGTTTACTGATGAGGTCCAAAACGTTCTGGGATGAGCTCGGCCGACCCACCAAATCTGGACTGGTCTCGTTTGGAGTGACTCCTACGTCCCATTCATTCCCAGCACTGACCACCTTTCCACTGGAGGGACTTCCATAGCTTCCAGCCACAGACTCTCCGTTTATAAAGGCAAAAAGGGATGGAGGAAGTGACTTGACCAAGGCCACAGAGCTGGTCACAGCAGCCCTTTCCCCACCTGTCCGGGGACAGGGGGCGGGGAGGACGGGCAGGGAGGCTGGGGGAGGTATTTGTTTAGGTTGTTCGATTCCTCCCACACTGAAGCCAGCGAGAATTATTTCTTTATTTTGTTTAGGATGGGCGAGCTCTGACCCAGGCCAGCCTCTCCCGGATGTGATCCCAGAAGCGGCTCTGGATCCTGGGGTGGGGGGTAGGGGTCCCCTGGCTGGACCATTCTCGGAGGAGACACTTCCTCTGTGCCCTACAGTGTCACAGCTTCTCCATCGCCAGCAGTCTCTCCATCCCCTTTGCCTGCCTCCCGTAGAGCCGAGGCCGAGGTCGGCAACTTTAGAGCCTGACCCTACCCTCTACCGGGGACGTAGCGTCTAGGGACAGAATTCGGCTGCTTGGAAAGAAAAGGGAAGGGGAGCGACTCCCAGCAGCCGCGCAGGGAGAGAGGGGTACGGGCGCCTCTGGCCAAGCTCCCAGAGGGGCCCCGCTGCCTCTTCCACCTTCCTTCGCTTCTTTTTCCTTTATTTATCTCATTTTTCCTTCTCCCCAGCCTCTCCTCCTCTCTCGCCCGCCTCACTCTTAGTCCCCTCTCCGTCTCCGTCTGTCCCTGTGTCTCTGTCTCTCTGTCTCATCTTTCCTCTTCCTGGCTTGCCAGGCTTCCCGCTCGCCCCAGCTTTCCTGGTTGTTAATTATAATTATTCAGCCCCCTGGCCCAGTACCCCAGTCCCGGCTGCCGCGTGGCGTTTGCGCGGAGAGGGACGCTGTCCGCTTCCCCCGGGGTTGGGTCCCCGGCGGACGGGGATCGGGCGGCGCTCTGCAGTCCCCGCGCTCTCGGCTGCCCAGGCTGGCCCGAGGCTCCGCTTGACGCCGCGAACCCAGACACCTCGCGCCGGAGAGCACACACGCGGGGAGACCCGGCGCTGGGACCACGCGGCCGGGAGGCTTTCCCCGGCCGGGTTCAGCGGCGGCGGAGGTGGGGGCGAAGCAGTCCCGCCGCTCCCGGCCCTCGGGCTCCCGCGGCTCGCCGCAGGTGGGGCTGGCGGACCGTCCAGAGGGCTCTTCGCCGGAGCCGGGTGCCGGCGGCTGGCAACCCGCGGAGGAGGCCCCAGCGCTGCGCACCCGCCTGGCCCCGCTGAGCCCGCGGCCCGCGGCTCCCAAACGCCCGGTCGCCCCGTCTAGGGCCCCCTTCCCTGCGGGTGCCTCGGAGCGGTTTCCCGGCCCTGTTGTTTCTTCGCCTTTTCTATCACTTAGTTCAACACCTTTAACGTCTCTTTTAACTCTAAAATATGTCTCCTTTTTATTTCATTTCGCGTTATTTTATCCTTTTTATTGTAACGTTTTATTGCTTTTCGAGTGGGTTTTGTTTTTCCTTTTTATCTGTTTCCGATGGATTCTCTTTTCTTTTTGCTCACTTCTCGCCTCGGCTCCGGAGCCCGCACTTGGTTTCCTCTTCCCCGCGCGCCCGCGGCCCTGAGGCTGGCGTCGGTGGTGCCCGCGGTGGTCCCGCCCGGGCGAGGGCGCGAGGGTCCCTGTGTCACGCACAGCTCGGTCCGCGTGACCCGCGAGTCTGAGCCCCAGGCCGCTGGGAGCTGGGACTTTGTCGAAAGCGGGAGCCGGAGTAGCTGCCGCCGGCGAGAGCGCTGAGAGCAGGCAGGGACGCCACGGGGGCCCTGCCCGCGGGTTCCGGCCTGGTTTTGGCCTGGCCCAGGCGCACGCAGAGGACCCAGACCTGCAGTTCACACTGAGGCTGCAGGCCCACGCTCGCTGACACTCAGGGGTATGCAGACCATCGTGCACGAACCACGCGGACACCCACCGAGTTAACCGAGAGCCTCACCGCCAAGTCAAGAGAGCAGGCACACCCAGCACACACTGACAAACACACGCATAACAAATGTCATATGCACACACAGACACACACACACACACACACGCAGCCCCAAACCGCCCCCCCCCACACACACACACACAAAACACTCGAGTGTGGACATACGCATTATCACGGGACACAAACACGGGCCAGCACACACACGATTGCACACTGCAGGTAAGCACCACACACAGACGTGTAAGCCTACTAGCCCACACTCTGAGCCCCGAGTGTTTTAACCCTAACTCAACCCATGGAGGTGGTGACTCTCAGGCCAGTGCTGGGCAGCTGGAAGGGAACCTGCCTGGTCTCACCAGCCGGCACAGCAGTAGCCTAGCAACTATAAACGCAGCCACCCAGGGCTTAGTACCTCTACCTGGACTGAAGTTTCGGTAGCTCCCACACTGGCTGCTTGTGTAGCTGAGAGATGCAGCCAAAATCCAAGAGCCTGAGCCCCAGAAATAAGCATCAGACCTAGAAAACCCTATTTGAAGCAGGTACCAGTACTGCACCAAGAAATGGCACCACGCTACAGAGCATGAAGCAGGCATGCCATACATGGTGCCAGTATGTGTTCCATGCCACATGCATCACACACGGTGCTAGTATTTGGCCAGTGCCCACATAGAGACCGTTATTTATGTGAAAACAAGCAGAAGAGATGTATATGGTTCTAGGAATAAACATAACGTGTGTACAAATATAGATACCAATCTACACCTAAGGAGATGTAAAGTAGAAAATCTCTTTCCAGCTCATGGGTACCGTTATCAAGCGGGAACGCTAGACTATGTGTCTGTGGCGAGGTCTGGTCTCCTTTCCAGGGCAAGGGGGTCATTTGGTGCCTTGGGAGCTCTTTGGTGAGACTGGATTACGGGAGAACTGTATGTATCTGAAATATAATCAAGCCACCAAAAGAGGGGATTTGGGCAGCTTTAGAAGGGAACCCCAGGGTAAAGGCCTGTCTGGGCTGTGTCCTCAGAATTTCTGCAAGGTGCTCTCAGCCACAGCAGCAGTGAAAGTGGTGGCGAGATCTGCATGTCGGATGATGGAGCCTGTCTGCAGGTGGGTATCAGTGTGCACAGACTCTGCTGGGTAAAAGCACAAACCTGTTCCTGGTACCCACAGACAGATCTGGACAACCAAGCCCAGCAAGTAGCAGACAATGTGTGCCCACAGACATCCAGCTGGATCACCAGGGAGATGAATTCATAAGAGAAAAGATGAGGGTAAGAGATATTTTTGTGCACACCCAGAGTCCCATAGGTTTGGAGCTTAAGAATTGTAGAGGAGAGCTGCAGAAGTAGGTAAGTACATAGGTCAAAAAGAAATGCTGGGTGAGCCTCATCCTAGAAGGCCAGGATGAGTGGGGACAGGTCTCTCTGGGGCAGCCCAGGGAGAAGCCCATCTATTGTCCAGATGACTCCGGAGTATTCTGCTATGACCGTTGCAGAGAAATGTGCCTGGTGAAGTTGAAATCTATTTGCCAATGTCTTGGCTGAGCCTGGGGGAGAAGCAGGCAGGAGAGAGGGCCATATGTCAGGTCTCTAACACGGGGTGGAGAGTGGAAAGGTTGGCCCCAGGACTGGCTGTCAGTCTCTGCATCTGCCCTATCCTTGACCAGGCTTCTGGTGCCTCTCAGCACCTTTCTCTTTTACTTTAACAGCTCTCCATCTCTAAGTCTCTGCCCCTCTCAGTTTCTCTCTGTGCTCCTTCTGTCTTTTTCTCCTTACCTCTTCAGCTCTTTTACTTGTCTGTACTACTTGGCCAGAAGAATAAGAAGCAATCAGACCTAGGAGCAGCTACAAATACAAAAGCATGCCGTAGATGCCCAGATCATTGGTGATAAAGCCCATCCATCTTGCTGGTCTGTATAGATATACATGGCAGCAAATTTCCATTTTTGCACAAAAATCTAAGTATAGCCTTGAAGTTCTGGTCTTGTAGTCTTTTGGTTGCTGCCTCTTTGGGTGTCTATCTCTTTATTTCTTTCTGGGACTCTTCTTCATTACACCACTCAAGGTCCCCGGACTCTGCTACAGTTTCAATAATCCTGCCTCTCCCCAATATTGCCTTCTTTGAAGTTTGCCTCTGATGGGCAAAGGCTTTTTTGAGACAGAGGTAGCTAGATAGTTGCGTTGCAACCAGGGATGTGGAGAGGAGACATCTGAAACTTGCTGGAAATACTAGTATCTCCAGCATCTATCTAGTTTTGGGGTCAGTCAAACAGACACACTCCCTTAATTTACCTGGGGAGTGCAGTAAAAGAAGGATATGGTGGAGTGCTGGAACCCCAATGTACCAGGGGTGCCAAGGGCCAGCAGAATCCTACCGAGACAGGCAGAGGAAAAGGTACCCAACTCAGGGGAGGCAAGTCCCTGGGATGATATGGAGGAAAAGTTGGGAAGGTCCCAGCTTCCCAACCACGGATCTGGTATAAATAACATCTGAGTAAGAGAGGGATGGAAAATGAAAAGGGAGGCAGTGGTGCAGCTCCTTAGATACCAAGGCACCCTGTGGAGATCTGGCTACAGAGCCTAAGAATGAACCTACAGAAGGTAGCCCAACCTGGAGAGAAGAGGAGAGGCTTGCGGCTCAATCCCGGTGGGAGAAAGGAGGGTCCAGAGTCGGACCAGGTCCACGTGGTTTCTGCTCATGAACACACCGAAAGCCACTGCTTGAGGTCCCATGGCCATTTACTAGATGGTAGGAAAAGGCGAAATGATTGGATAAGATGGAATGGCCTCTGGATTAAGACTCAGACTCAGCCTCTAAACCAACAAGGGGTGGCCCCCATTCTGGCCCCATGCCAAATAAACCTGGAGCGCTCTTCCCTTTCAACTCCAAAAAACCAGATCCTCGTTTTCTCGCCAGATCTGAATTCCCTGTGCCTTGCTTTCTGTGAGTCTGTGACTCCATCTCTGGCTCCCCCACTCTCTGTGAGCTGCGGCTCTGTCCCTCTAGTCTCTGTCACTGCTTGGAAGCTTTTGTGGCTTCATCTGTCTCTGTTTTCAGGTCTCTGTCTCTCCCCTCCTGCCCCCCCACCCCGCTGGAATTAGCCTTTGTTAATTCAAAGGCTTCTCACTGAGCTCCTCCCCACTCTTCCCAGAATAACATTGAGTAAAATGAGATAAAACCCTCCCGCCCCTAGGTTTTTTTTCCTGTCCTACTCCCTTCAGCCCCCTCCTCCAGGGCTACAACCCCCTCTTATAATGTCAGATAATTACTGGTGTGCAGCTCTGAGGAACCAGAGCTGATACGAGGGAAGGAGAAAGGGGGAGAGAAATAAATAATAATCTGCCTCCATTCAGCGTATATAGGTTACCTGATTTGCATATATGCTAATAATGCTATAATTACCCTGCTGTTCTGGCCTATGATCAAGTTCTATAAATACATAGGATAGCAGAGCTAGGCCTAGCAACACCACCCCCAAAATCATGGATATAACTGTATGTGCATGTAGTGCATTTTATGTACACTCTAAACCTATGAGCCTCTCTTTGTTAGAACACACTGCCTTACAGATCCCAGCTCTTCAGACTTTCAGCTACCCCTCCTGTGTTTTGAAGCTACTCCGGAGGAGGAGAGACATGCCTGAATGAGAAAACAGTCTAGGTTTTATTTAATGCTTAATATTAATTTCATTATGAATGTTATGGCTATTTTTAGGAAATTCAGGCTTCCCCAAATTATTGCATTAGTTATTATCACCAGGATTCCCTCACCTTCTATAATCCGACACTTTGCGGTACAGGCTGGTGGGCAAGAACAGAAAGCCCCCATCTCTTAGGCCTACTGAATGTTTCAGAAGGTGCTGTCTACAGAGGAGCAAGTGGAGTCCCCTGCCCCAAGCCTGCCCCTCTTGCCTCAGTCTCCTGGTACATTCACCGCGTGAAGGAAACCAGGGGGAAGATACACAAGGGGCTGTGCAGATTTTTGGGTGATGGTGGCAGAAGTGGGGAGGAAGCTTGGAGGAACATAAAAGATGCAATCCACAGCTGTCTGCTTTTAATTATAATTATCCCCTTTCGCTTCCTTTCTGGCTAATGAGGGGGGATTAAAATTTTTTTCTCCCTTTTCTCCCCCTCCCTCCTTTCCCTGGAATTGAGGGGTGGGGTGAGTTCAGGATCCTCCTCCCCTTCCTCCCTTATCCCCTGGTTACTGGGAGAAAGGCAGACTCCAGAGGGTGGTGACAGTATGAAGAGATTTGTAGGAACAAAAGAAGGACAGGTTTGGATTGCTGGACACGTCCCAGAGCTGGAGAGACCCCCCCATTCCACTGGCACCCCCTCCCATCAACCCCCCAGCTCCCTAGACAAGGAACTCAATGTCTTCCAGCCGGTGAGAAAGGAGCTAACGGGAGCCCTAGTCTAGAGAGAAGGGGAGGGAAGGGGTGGGGAGTTGGGGGGGTGCAAAATTAGTCTCAAAGGATCTTTATTTCTGAGCTAGTGAAGCAGATGTAATCAAGGGGAGAGCAAAATAATCATAATGGGAGGAATGGGGGAGGGGAAGCGGGGCTGGAATGGGGGGACAGGGTCGGGACAGGGCTGAAAATTGGGGGGCAGGGAACATCGAGTGGGGAGAGTCTGTTGCCTTCTCTCGCCCCTCTCAAGTCTCCCTACTTTGAGGTGGGGAAAGAAGGACCAGGTCTATAGACTCTGACCTTAGCCCTCAGAATCCCTCATTCAGAGCTTAGGGATCACCAGGCCAGAAGGTGGCTGGGAAGGCACCAGGGAGAAGAGACCCCCCCACCCCGCCCCCAGTTGAGGGAGGTGGTTAGGAGAGGAGAGACTAAAGGCAGTGGGGGAGGGTGTGAGAGAGGAGCCAGCAGAGACTCAAGTGGCCTCCAGGTCTGTGGGACAAAAGTTGGAGGGAGATTTGTGTATGAGAGAGGAGGGGAGGGGGCCGTGGGGAAGGGGGGGCTTTGACAATGAACTTGAGACAAACTTCATTAGCATGCAGGCCTGCTGTCTGTCACGTCGAGCTCAGACCGAGTTCCCATGCAGGCCAGGAAGAGTGGGAGGGAGAAAAAGGGAGGGGCTGAGGGTGGGGGTTAGAGAGAGAAAAGAGACCGGAGCATTGTACCATTCTGGGCCCCAGCTTCCACCAAATATCGGGACCCCAGCCCTGGAAACCAACCCCCCAAATTGCTCTCCCTCCTCTAAGAAAAGATAATTTATCTCCCACTTTGACTCTGTGGTCCCACCCCTTCTCTCCTCTTGTCTAGACTTCCAAGTACTGGCCTTCATCTCCCCGCAAGATGCTCCCCCCTCCAGCTTTCAGCCTTCACCTTCTGATTGTCACTGTCTCCTTCACAACTAAGATCAGGATATGTGATTAGTTAAGCTGACCGAGATAGGAATTGAGGGGAGGCCTAGGAAGCGGGGACTGGGACGCCCCGAGCCTTCAAATGGCAAACTATGTCACCTTCCCATGGCTCCTCATCAGCTCTGCGCCTCACCCTCCACACACCACTTAATCACTCTATCAAGTTCCAAAGCAAATTAAAACTCGGAGACTAGGGACGGAGTCTTTCCATCACACCCTTTCTCTTGCTTCCCTTGGGGACAAGGGTGGCCTGGAGGAACAATAGCTTCCCTTAGCCCCTTCTTCCTGCCTCAGGTTAGAAAAGGCAGTAGGGGAGGTGGCAAGCAGAGTGGAGGTGACAAAGACCCCTGGCCACACAGGCATTGGAAGGAAGAAGGAGGGGCTTCGTCAGAGTGGGCTGTTATTTTGGTGGTGGTGGTGGTGGTGGTGGTGGTGGTGTCTCCAGAGAGGGGCAGCACCCCCTTTTTGCTGCCTTTCCAGGGAGAGCAGCAAGAGAAAGAAAGAGAGAGGCAAACGAAATTCCTGAATGGATAGACAGATGCTACGTCATCGGAGCTGCATCCTCCACTCCACAAGAGGCTAGGAGCTGGGGGGAGAAAGGCAGTCCAGCCGCAGGGGCCACCCGAACAGTCTCTCCTCCTCACAGAAGCCTGGTAAGTGCCCATTCGGGTCCAGCGAGGATCCCAGCCCCCTCAGACCTCTGAGCTGGGAGTGAGAAGAGAGCCCATCAAATCAGTCAGGACGCCCTAACCTTTCTACTTTACCTACTGGCTAATGGAGGCTGGTGCAATCATCACAGAAAGAAAAGACTGATAAAAGATTTCGGGGGTCCCCAAAATGGATGAGGCATGTGTGAAGAGGAGGAGCTGGCAGCAAGGCTATCACCTCCTGCCTCCTGGGCACCTATCGCTGAGCCCAAGGCAGTGGCTCTACCTACCCGCCCCAGAGTGGCTCCTGGTTCCCCTCCTTCCTCCAGCCCATGCCGGCTGGAGACAGCTCACTAAGTTTGTCAATGGGATTGTGGGGGGGCTTTAGGGTCACGGTGCTACTGATCCTATTAATCTGCCCCTCCCTTCTCTCCAGCAGACATGGCCAACATCTTAATGCTTGCACCAGAGAGAGGAGAGGCAGGAAGGAGACTGTAGTGGAGAGGGGAAGGAGGGAAAAAATGGTTCTGTGTTTGGACTCCTGACCTTGTTCCCTCCATCTGGCTCTTATTCCTTTCTGACCTAGTGACTTCAGCTTTTAGGGGAAGACCAAGTCTGGGGGGCTTGGGACATGGGGGGAAAGGAGCTAGATTTCCCCCCAAGAAAGCAAGGTGGAAACCAGAATTGGGAAAAATCCAAAAAGATTTTAGAGGATTTAGATTCCTTTAATTTCCCCTCTCCCTCCTGTTCTGTGAGCTGGCAGGTGGCAAAGGGGCTGAGGGAACCTAAAGGCAAGTGAGATGTTGGGGAAAATGCTTAGGGTCTAGAAGGGGCGAGAACCCTACTCCAACACCATCTTCACACCCAGCTAATGGAGGGTGTGTGTGTGTGTTTTGTTTTGTGTGTTTTCTTTTCCTAAGGAAGGCCAGGAGATATAGAAAGAAGGCACGCTTGCTGCCTCCAGCCCCCCACCCACACTGTGCTTTCTGGGAGACAGGATGGGGGCCATTGTGGGGTAATGGAGGCTGGAGCGGAGCAGGCTATTCCTGGAACCCCAGAGGCCAGATTGCTGGGAGAGGCTGAGGCTGCCAGCCATCATACGTGCACACACATGTTCCATGCCTGCTGGGCTGTGTTCTTCATCACCATGTTCCCCTAGGCATTGTGTATGCTTTGTTGGGGGGTGGCAGGGCAGAGATCAGTGCTGAGGGGGACAACTGCCTCGGGGACGCAGAACTCTGATCGATTAGGGTGGAGGGAGGAGCCAGAGGCCCCCTAACTGTCCTTGCATCTGTTTTCTAGCATGTCAGGAAATTGATGTGGGGTGGGGGGGTAGCCCCTTCTTTGGTATGAAGATAATTTCAGACTGAGGCATCCCTTTACGAAATGGATGGGCTGGCAGAGCAGAGGCTGGGAGTCAAGTGAGTATTTGTGAGTGTTAGAAGTGGGGAGGGGGTATTCAGAACACCCCTCCTAGAAATCAGACTTGGATGTAAGGCTCTTCCCTGCTCCGTAGCCCCCCTTTTTTTCTGATATCCTACATTTAGCTAGGCTATCTTCCTGACTCAAAAAAAAAAAAAAAATTAGGCTATCTTCCTGACTTAAAAAAAAAAATTGGTTGTGGAATTGAGTTTGCAATGGAAGAATTCACCAACTTCCCCCAACCCACACACAAACATGTAAACACTCATCACAGTACTTTAGGAGCTAGGTCACCTGCAGGATACATGCCACTGCCCCAAATCGTAATTTAACCTGAAAGCAAAATTCTGGGAAGATAAGACTATAAAATACTGAGACGAGATTCATATCCAACACTAATAAAAAAAAATGCTTTGTCTTTACATCTTTTGTGCGTGTAAAAAAGAGGAGAAAATTGATCACTACAGGACCTTGAGAGATATTCATGGATGGGTGATAGGTAGATAGGTCATGACAGAGATGAGTGGAGAAAGCTAGAGAGATACTATCTCTGAGAATATTGTAAATGTGCACAGCACTTCACAGTTTACAGTGCATTAGATCCAGACCCTAGCTCCTTCATCCTGTCCTGAGCATGCTCTCCCAAAGACCCCAGGAAGCAGGAATCTGCAAGGAGATCGTGTCCATTGGGCAGAAGATTACTTCCTTAGATTTAAGTCTAAGATCTCCACAGGCTGTTTGAAGTAGGCCAGACCCCTGGGCCCAAAGGTTTTGGATGGAGGTGAGAGGCCCAGGAGGGGAGCGCTGCCTGCATGTCCAGGCTTTTCTCACTCTCCCTCTGTGCAACCTCAAGCCTGGCGATTAAGAGGGAAACATAGCCTGTCCAGGTTCCAAAGACGCAAAGATGGAGGAAAGGAGTGGCTGAGTGAGTGATAGGAAGGCTGGGGGTCGTCAGGGAAAGAAGGCTGGACTTCTCAAAGGACTTTAACCTCTGCATTCTCCTCCTTGACAGGAGCTGGGCATCCAAGAAGCAGCCGCCTCATTTGTTTCTGGTGTCATCGTAGGTGGCCACCTATGGCTTCTGGGGTATTTATTTTCTTATTTATTGTTTCTGATGGTGGAGTGGGTGGGGGGAAACTGGCCTTGTCTCACCTATGTTTCCTCCTGTTGTCGGTATCTCTCTACGCCACTCCCTGCCTCTTCTAGCTTTCAGCCCCTGATTTTGGGTCCACTCCAAATGTAGTTAGACCTACATAGTCAATGATAGGCCACCCTGCTTCTGTTCTGTAATAGAGAGGAAAGGCATTGGGGATACAGGGAACTGTTTCCCCTTCTCCCATAGGCTCCTGAGGGCAGAGTTGGTGACCACCTGACGGAGGGGGGGGGAAGATGGTTGATTGGGGAAGGGAACAGAGATACTTGTACCTGGGTGACAGAGGTGAGAAAGAAGAACAGTGTGGGTTATGGCGAATGGGGACCCAAGGAACTTAAATAACTGTGAGTGATATGCGTTCCAGAGTACACAGCTGCAAGCACTGGGAGGTGGTCCTGCTGGGAGTATCTGTGGATTTGTCATTGCATTGGTCTGAGTGGGTAAATTTGAGAGAGAGAGAGAGAGAGAGAGAGAGAGAGAATGATATGCAGCACCCTTGCATACTCATGTTTGTGCCCTTTAAGTAGGCCATTTGCTGATGGTTGAGGGTCTTGTAGAAAGGGCTCAATCTGTATGAACCAGCCAACCCTCTACCATCTCTGCCACCTTGTTCTCACCTCCTGGACACCACAGCACTCTCAGGCAAGTCAGCAATGTGTGGGCTCAAGAACAGAACTGGGACCAGGCAAGGAAGGCAGTGCTTACACAGGCCCAAGGAATTCTCAAGCTAGCCCCTCAGTGGGAGGAAAATACTGCTCTCTCGAGGAAGAAGTATGACGTCCCTAGGAATGAAATCCTCCAGATTATTTTCTACACCTCCAACCTTTTCTGCCCATATGAACAGACATGATTTTTCACACGCCTTAGTATTTTTTACTGCTATTTCTTGCTTTTATTTGTCACTATCCCATAGACAATGCAGATTTCTATAGCAAAAAAAAAGTATGATATTGTTCATAATGATGCACTTATAAGACAAATAAATATCTGAATCCACCCTCTCCTGAATGCAGCTTTCATCTGTGTCTTCAAGGCAAATTAACCTGGTAACTGAAACAAAGAAAAAAATATATGCTTTTTATGTAATTACCTGACTCTTTCAAGAAAGTGCTTGACTGCCAAAATGTATTTTGGAACCTGAATTATAAAGATCTGTCCAAGAGCTGCATCCAGAGAGCATAATTCAGGCCATGTTTTTCTCTACGTGGGCCTCTTCAGGCACACAGACAATAGGTGGGCATTGGGGCTATAAGGGATGGGGGTGGGGACGGGCACTGGCAAAAAATGGGGGCTCCTAAGCTAATGGAGACACTTACGGACTCACATCAGCACCAGGGAATAGATGTGCTCTCCCCACAGCCCCTAGAAATTCCCTGGAAGGACTCAGGGTGGGGTCTGCAGTCCATCGCGCTGTAGAACGCTCCAGCTGACTGCGGTGTGCTGGAATCAGAAGGCTCAGACTCCAACTGAGACCTTCTCAGGGACACTGAGGCTGCTGGGCCAAGCCCAAAGGGCACCCAAGGAACCCATTTTATGCCAGCTGTTATACTCTTCTAGGCCTGCTGTATCTAGTAGAAGGATCTCCTCTGGTCAAAGGAGCTATCAAATAGCCAGAAACACACAACACAATAGACACAACTCTCCCCTCCCTCTCCCCCGAAGATCCCATAGAACACACAACTTACCAAGACCCTCACTCCCTACCCCTAATGCCCTCAATCTACATGATGGCAAATGCACACTCGAGGTACACAGATGTCTATTAATTGATCAGTTACTGGGCACCCACTATGCTTTAGGCAGAGTGTTAGCTACCATGGACAGGAATATGTGTGACGTTGCCCCCTGCTCTGGAGAGACTGTCTCATTTGCCACCCTTCAAGTAGTTTCTGTTTTGAAACTGGAACAATGGTATTCAAACCAATCCCAGTAAACATGATGGTGGGAGTTTTCTGCTTCTTTCATGGCTGATAGCTCTTTCTCCATTGGAATAAAGACAGATGCCCTACTCACCTTTATCCTTGAGCAGGAGTGGGAGAAGACGGGGTTGCCGAGCACACCCAGACAAAACCAAACAAAAACTTACTTCATCAGCAACCTTGACAGAAGTGGGGATTTATGTGGGTAGTGCCAGGACAATTTAGACTAATCTCTGTTTTCCTTTGTTGGGAGTCTCTCCTCCCTGCATTTGGACACTCTGATTGGGCTAAACTACCTGTTTAGAACCCAAAGCCTCACTAAGAAGCAGAGGGATCTTGCTCTTTAACAAGCTACTTGGAGAAATTTAGATATATTTTCAGAAGGCATTTAAATGTAACCATTTCTCTCTTGACCTTGGTTTTTGAGGATGTCCAGCTAAGTCTGAATTTGGACAACAGAGGTGGGGTGGGGGAGCCTCTGATGGGCAAAAAAACCTTTCTGTTCTCTGCCTCCAATAAAAATACAGCAGTGGCTGAAAGAGAAGGGAGGTTCAAGCTGGTTCCAGTTGCCTCTTGCTTACTGTTTGGTCAGCCCAGGCCAGGATAAGGGGTCGTGGTGATAAGCTTAGGCCCCACAGAGGGCAGGGAACTGGGTTGGAAATTGGTAACAGAGGAGAAAAGGGAGAATTTCAGCTAGCAGAACAGCCCACGCTTCCCTTCTGGCCCCAGCCTCCCAGGTGCTGGTGAGGGGAGGGTGGATAGGGAGGAAGGTTTGCTTAAGGTGCTTTCAAGGGATCTTGTGGAAGGGCAAATTTGGAGTTATTTGTAAGGGGAGTTGGTAGTTTATCTGGAGAAGCGTAGGCCCTAGCTAGAATTGCTGGAATGGCTGGAGGGCATTAAGCATCTTAGAAATGGGTATGACACGGTTTCAAGAGAAATCTTGGAGGGGATTTGTAGCTATGGAGGGGAATGGCTGGAAAGCCTATAGCCTTTCCTGGCTGGATGGGGTAAGCATTTAGGGAATGCCTTTAGCAGCACACCAGGAGGTAGGTCTATCTGTGAGACTATTTGAGAGGGGTTCTTTGTTTGTTTGTTTGTTTTTTGTTTTTTGCAACTCTACTGCAGAGACGGTAGACCCCAAGGCTCTGCTTCCAAGTGCTTCAGTGCTTCATTCTAAGCTGTAGGAGCACCTGGGATGGGCAGGAGGAAACCAGATAGGGAGTGGACACCATCTCTGTCTCTTTCCTTCCCTCCTCATCATTGGCTGGTGTGTTCCCTGTTCTGGAAGGGTGAAAATTTGACATTGTGGAAGCATCTAGAAAGCCTTTCACTTAGGTAAGGGCCTTGAAACCCCATGGCAACTGACAGAAGGAAGAAGCTATGCCAAGCCCAGCAGTGCAAATGCCCGGGGAAGTTAGATTGTTTCCTTCAGCCTCATGTTATCATCCTGGTAGGGAATCACCCGGTTCCCAGGCTTTATCTTATTCCAGACTGCCCCCCACTCCGCAGTCATGTTGTCAACATCAATTGAAGCAATTATTCAGATATTCTCCAATCTTTGGGGGAAGCACCAAATTAAATTGACTGGCCATAGGCTTGCATCTAACCAAGAACAGCTTTCAGGCTTGGCTTTGTCCTGGGCTGTGCAGACAGGCAGATAAAACAATCTGATGGGGCTTGATGACAAAACTGGTCATCCCCTGGAGCACACCCCTGGTGGCCTAGTGTTCAAGGATCCCTGGTTATAGGAGCTGGCCCATGTTCATCTGGCTGACAGGCTCCAGCTATCTGAGTCATAATTGTTTTTTTTTTTTTTTTTTTTTTTTTTAGTAAGGCGGTGGAGAGTAGATTGGGTACAAGGGTGGGGTGCCTTGGGACCAGGAATTCAAATTGCTCCCTGGCAGGGCTCAGGTAGGGGCCCACAGCTCGTTCTGCGAGCTCTACAGGGCAGCGGGATTCAGATACCTCTCAAGGTTGAGACTAGGCATTATTGGGCCCTGATTCCCAGTGCACTGAGGCCGAGAGAGGAATGTCGCGCTGTGTCAGATAAGGAGCCAGGTCCGGAAAGTCCCAGACGGAACCTTGCTGGAGGACGATCCTCCTTCCATAACCCCAGCTCTCCAGACAGCTGGAGCAGGACCGTGGGCCAGAGGTGGGACTCTCACCGTGTTGGAGAAGGGCAGGAAAGCGCTAGCAAGGGCCTCCATGCTGGATGAAAATCTGTGGGTCTTGCCCCGACTGATGCCAGCTGGAATCCTCACCCCAGCCTCCCTTACCTGTAACTTTGGTTCTGCGAACACGTTCAAGAGATATTCCAGTTTCTGCAAGGCAGAAAAGGAGGCTCAGCCCCGCTCAACCCCCCCCCCCCCCCCCCCCGCATCTCCCTGCAGGAATCCAAACTTCCAGACTCTTTACCTCATTGTTTTGAGTTGAAAAGCAGCGAGAGAGGTTCCTGCCCATTCTAAAAGATTAGGCCCACAGTCTGCTAAGCATCGGTACCCGAGAAGCACAAAGAATATTCTGATGGGAGGAGGCAGGTAGGAGTAGAGTCTGCAGTCATCTGGTTCTGTCTGAGGGGCTTTCACCTGACCTCTTTTCCATCTGTGCGCCCTCGTGTTGGTGCAGCATTCCTAGGGCCAAAATGGAAAATGTAGAACCTACAAAATGAGTGAGGTTGGAGATCAAAACCACAAATGGCAGTGGATTGGAAGTGGCAGGCGGGTCCCGGGAATGTGTGAGGCAGCGTGAGGCTGAGAATCAGCACGGAGACGTAGTAGTACCCCTATCCCCATTCTCCGGTGGGGAGGGGCGCCCCAATTGCGCTCCCCGGCCGGCCCGGGAAGGGGGAGGGGCGGGGCCGGCGGGGAACGAGGCGGTGACGTCAGATGCGGTAGAGCCAATCAGAGGATGGCCTGGGGAGGGAGTGTGAAAGGATGAATGAAAAGTCCGGAGCCGGAGCGCGCCGGGGCCAGAGCCGCGGTAGAGCAAAGGAGGGAGCGGGGAGGTGAGACTCG